TTACCGAAAAGTGATCCGAGACAGGTCTCAGTTAAGTTAGAAAGTTTGTTTTGCCATAGTTGAGGACACACACCCGTGACATAGCTCTGGAGGTCCTGATGACATATGCCAAGTTGGTGGTCAGAGGACAGTTTGGTTTTCCTTTTAGGGAAATACGAGACATCAATCAACATAGGTAAGATGAACATTGGCTCAGTCTGCCCCTGAGATGGGTCCTTCCTCAGCAAGGGCTGCTTCAGGTTACCATCCACACAGAGACCCTGGGGGCCGGCACTGACTTCAAAGGTGGCTTGCACCATTCCACGTCCTCTGATGGTGACCTATGCTGTGATTACTGGCCTGGGGCCCCTGAAGAGCTGACACCCCACAGACATCATGTGTGAGGCACTGTGTGAAGGCTGGGCCCCGCAGCGTGGCCCCACACAATTCAGACACTCTTGAGAGTGAAAGTGTTGTTGTTAGCAATTGTTCCAGGACAGCAGGTGCCACCAGGTCTACCCAAGGAAAGCAGGGCACAGAGGTACCCCTGGCACATCCAGCTCAGCACAGCAGGAGGCTAGCAGACACAGGTAAGGCAGAGGCCGCTGGAAGCCAAGAAAAGTGGGGAATCACAGGCAGCAGGCAGGGGAAGCACTGCACTGAGATCCTGGGCTGCGGAGTAAAATGGCTCCAGCCTCCAAACTCTGTGTCCCTGACCATCCCTGCCGCTCCTGACCCTCAACCACTCATCTGTACAACGGGATGGCACTAGTGACTCAGCCAGGCGCCAGGAAGACTCGATGAGTAACTGCCGTCAGGGTGTGGACAGCACGGGCCACACTAAGTGAGTTCTGCCTGCTGTCATCTTGGGTCCACTCTTCCTGCTTTGCTGCTTTTACACTGCCTATTTCCCCATGTAGCATTGGTATTTCTTTAATGATTTTTTCACTCTCTTTTTTGAATTTATTTCTTTAGTGGTTGTTCTAGGGACCACCATTTACATTTTATCAGAATCTACTTTGGATCAGCACCAATTCCGGGGAGAGATAGAAACACAGCTCCTGCACAGCTGTGTCCCCTTTCCCCTTCTGTGGTATTATCGTTACACACACCACATCTCTAAATGCTACAAACCCAGCAGCGTGTTGTCATTATTATGCAATGTGATGCTCTTTAAAGAAATGGGGAGATGAAGGAAGACAAATACCTATTTATAGCTTCTGCTGCGTTAACTTTTTTTATTGTTTCTGGTTCTCTTTATTGGTTCTGTGAATTTGAGTTACTACCTGGACTCACTTCCTAGCCAGATAATTTAGCTTCCACCCATCTCCTTTGGGGTATTATTGACAAATGCATTATACGTCTATATGTGGTAGGCCCAATAATATGTTATACCCATACTGTTTTATACAATTGCTTTTTAAACCAATTAAGAAAGAAGAAATAGGCATTTATACTGTTTTAAACAATGCTACAAGTACCTCTGCTAGTGTGGATTTAAATAATATCATCTGGGATCATTTGCTTTCAGCCTGAAAGACTTCCTTCCATATTTCTCATGAGGTGGGCCAGCCAGCAACAAATTCTCTTGGCTTTCGTATGTAGTATCTGGGATCATCTTTAAATTTCTTTCTTTCTTTATTTATTTATTTTTATTATTATTATTTTTGAGACGGAGTTTCACTCTTGTTGCCCAGGCTGGAGTGCAATGGCGCGATCTCGGCTCACCGCAACCTCCGCCTCCTGGGCGCAGGCAATTCTCCTGCCTCAGCCTCCTAAGTAGCTGGGATTACAGGCACGTGCCACCATGCCCAGCTAGTTTTTTGTATTTTTAGTAGAGACGGGGTTTCACCATGTTGACCAGGATGGTCTCGATCTCTCGACCTCGTGATCCACCCGCCTCGGCCTCCCAAAGTGCTGGGATTACAGGCTTGAGCCACCGCGCCCGGCTATTTATTTATTTATTTTTATTTGAGACAGAGTATCACTCTGTTGGCCAGGCTGGAGTGCACTAGCCCTAATCTCGGCTCACTGCAACCCCTACCACTGGGTTCAAGCAATTCTCCTGCCTCAGCCTCTCAAGTGGCTGGGATTACAGGCACACACCACCACAACAAGCTAGTTTCTCTATTTTTAGTAGACAGCATTTCACCATGCTGGCCAGGCTGATCCTGAACTCCTGATCTGAGGTTATCCACCCACCTCAGCCTCCCAAACTGCTGGGATTACAGGCATGAGCCACCATGCTCAGCTGCTTACATTTTTGAAAGCTAGTTTGGTTGATACAGGATTCTTAGAAGTTTTGTTGGTAGTGGTGGTTGTTCTTTGAGCACTCTGAATACATTACCCCTCTTCCTTCTGGCCTCCATTGTTTCTGATGATAAATCAGCTGTTGATCTTACTGGGTTTCCTTTGCAAGTGATAAATCATTTTTCTGTTTTCTAGATTTTTCTCTTTGGCTTCTAGCCATTTTACTATGATGGGTCTATTTGTGGCTCTCTTTGGTTATCCTACTTAGATTTCACTGAGCCTCTTGGATTGTAGGTTGATATTTTTCAATAAATTTGGGAATTTTTCAGCCATTATTTCTTTAAACATTTTTTCTGCTCCTTTTCATCCCTCCTCTCTTCTGGTTCTCCAAGTGTATGTTGGTGTAATTCACGTGGTATCATACACTCCTCTAAGACGCTCTTCATTTTTCTTTACTCCTTTTACTCTGTTCTTTGGATCGCCGTTTCCATCAGTCTCTCCTCAGGTTCACTAGTTCTTTCTTCTGCCAGTTCAAATCTACTACTGAGCTTGCCTAGTGAATTTTTCATTTCAGCCATTGTACTTTTCAACTCCAAAATTTTCTTTTTTTCTTTCTTTCGTTTTTTTTTTTTTTTTTTTTTTTTGAGACGGAGTTTCGCTCTTGTTACCCAGGCTGGAGTGCAATGGCGCGATCTCGGCTCACTGCAGCCTCCGCCTCCTGGGTTCAGGCAATTCTCCTGCCTCAGCCTCCTGAGTAGCTGGGATGACAGGCACGCGCCACCATGCCCAGCTAATTTTTTATATTTTTAGTAGAGACGGGGTTTCACCATGTTGACCAGGATGGTCTCGATCTCTCGACCTCGTGATCCACCCACCTCAGCCTCCCAAAGTGCTGGGATGACAGGCTTGAGCCACCGCGCCCGGCAACTCCAAAATTTTCATCTGATTCTTTGTGAGACAGGGTCTTGCTCTGTCACCCAGGCTGAAATGCAGTGGCACAATCGCAGCTGACTGCAGCTTTGACCTCCCAGGCTCAGGCAATCATCCACCTCAGCCTCCTGAGTAGCTAGGACTATAGGTGTGTGCCACCACGCGTGGTTGAAAAAAAAGTTATAAAGACAAGTCATCACTATGTTGCCAAGACTGGTCTCAAACTCCTGGGCCCAGATGATCTCCCTCACTTGGCCTCCCAAAGCGCTGGGATTACAGGTGTGAGTCACTGTGCCCAGCCGTTTTTTTTTTAATACAAAATATATGATTTCTACCTTCTTAATCTCTATTTGAGACAATGTTGGCTCATTCCTTCCTTTAGTTTTATCCCCTTTAGTTGTTTAGTCATGCTATCCTTTAGTTCTTAGAATGTATTTATAACAGCCACTTTGATGTCTTTTTCTTTTAAATCCAACATCTTGCTCTACATAGGATGTTTCTACTACCTGCCTTCTTCCCCAGTGTATATGCAATACTTCCGTTTCTTTGCATGCCTCATAATCATCTGTTGCAGAGTGGACATTCTTAGGTAACATATTGTAGCACTTCTGGGTACCAGCCAACCCGATCTCAGACTATTTTCCTGCTTTCTTTGCTTAGTGACCGGCTAGACTATTTTAATGGCTCCTATTCCCCACCCCACACCCCAGCGCCTCTGATTGCATCTCGGATTTTCCCCTCGGGCACAGCCTTGGTTATGCCCTCACTCGCCCTGGGTAACAGTGGTCTCAAAGTGCTGCAAAGCTCTTTGCTGTCCTCCCTGGCCACGCCCAGATGTTAGGCTCCATGGATTATCAGCTGATTGCTCTACTGCTTTGAATAGTGCTCTGGACATAAATTGCTTCACGGGTTAATCCAACCAAATTTGTACTCCTTTGAAGGGATAGTTCCTGAAGTTAGTATTTTGAGATACTTGTACGGCCCCTAGCCAGACTGTATTTTTGGCATATATTTCCAATAAATCGATTGATCTACCACGTTGCCTTTCTACACCACTTCCACTGCTGCTGAGGGAACCCTTAGGCTTGAACTTCACACTGTTACAAATGAAGTTAAGTACACGTGAAGTCACTTCCTGTGGGAGGAATTGAGAGCTCTCTGTTCTACAACCTGCATCTCCAGTGGCTCTGGTGTTTGGTGGTGGGGGGATCAGTAACCCCAGGTTTCCCGGGCTCGCCTCTCAGCGTAGAATCCCCACTCTATATATACGTAAGGCCCAGTAAGTGTTGACGACTGCTTCCATCCCTCACACCCTGAGCTTGTCTCCTAAGTCTGTCCTGTGTCCAGCACTGCCATGAGGCAGTTCTCCAACACTGTCTCTGTAGAAGCCTCTGGGCAGGAATTAAGAATTGCCAGCTCCTCTGGTGAGGCCACTGCCACATCCTCGAAGCCTACAGAACTGCCTGGACCTGAAGCAGGCTGGAACCCCTGCTCTCTCCTTACAGGGATGAGCGAGGGCTCAGACATAATTGCTGGCAAGGGCATGGAGGCACAAGGCCTGGGCCAACTTTCACTGCTAGATGAGTCCTATACTCACTCACTCATCCTCTACAACCATGCTACCCAGACCTCCTTGTAGCTAGTTGTACTCACATGACTGGGACCTGGCTGAATGGACAGGAGCAGAAGTGGTGTGTGCATACCAAAGAAGTGGTGTGCTTTCTGGAGGCAGACACAGTGGTGGGGATCAGAGCAGATGTCTTGCAACATCTTCAACCCTGCAGCTCCCATCATGAGACACACATGGCATGTCTTGGTATAAAAGAATACCTGAGGCTGGGTAATCTATAAAGAAAGAGGTTTATTTGGCTCACAGTTCTGCAGGCTGTAGAAGCATGGTGCCAGCATTTGCTTCTGGTGAGGGCTTCAGGGAGCTTCCACTCATGATGGAAGGCAAAGGAAGCAGCATCACATGGCAAGAGGAGGAGGAAGAAGGGAGGGAGGTACCAGGCTCTTTTTAACAGTTCACACAGAAACTGATCAAGTGAGAACTCACTTGTTACCACAAAGATGTCACCAAGCTATTCATAAAGGAAGGATTCACCCCAGTAACAGAAACATCTCCCACCAGGCCCCACCTTCAACATTGGGGATCAAATTTCCACATAAGATTAGAAAGGACAAATGTTCAAACCAGATCATGGCAGGGGCCTGGCTCTGCCAGACAGTCAAGCTGATTCACCAGCCCTGATTTCCCTTCTCGGCTAGTACGTGGGCAAGAACTAGGCTGCTATCTTGTGTACACAACTTCAGGGTCCCTCTGTTACTGGCACTGGTTAGGGTAGGGTGGGACTCCCCCAGAGGCCCTGGCCATGAAGTGCTCTGTAGTTATCGCCTCCGTCTGGGTCAAGGTGGGCGGTGTGGGTTTGCTTCCACTTTTAGACCAGGTGAACCTTAATGACAGAGGCATGCTTTACTCACACCAAGTCCCCCAGGGGCTGGCCCATGACTGGTACTGGGGAGTGGGGGGCAACAGCAGAACTGCCTGGACCGGAAGCAGGCTGGATCCCCTGCTCTCCCCTCACTGCCTGTCTCAGTCAATGTGGATTGCTGTAACGAAATACCACAGGCTGGGTGGCTTAAACAACAGAAACTAATTTATTACAGGTCTGGGAACTGGAAGTCCAGTATCAAAGGCACTGGCAATCTGCTGTCTGCTAAAGGCTCTCTCTGATTTGCAGATGGCAGTTTTCTTTCTTTCTTTTTTTTTTTTTAAGTGATAAGGTCTTATGTTGCTTAGGCTGGTCTCAAACTCTTGGCTCAAGCAATCCTAATGCCTTGGCCTCCCAAAATGCTGGGATTACAGGCATGAGCTACCAAGCCCAGCTTGAAGATGGCAGTTTTCTTGTGTGCTCACACAGCAGAAAGTGAGCTCACTCTAGTTCCTTCCTTTCTTATAAGGACTTAATCTCATTGGGGGGTTCCCCCCTCATGACCTCAGCTAAGTGTAATCACCTTCCAAAGGCCCCACCTCCTAAGACCACTCTGTTGGGGGTCAGGGTTTCAACATATAAATGCTGGGGTGACACAAACATGCAGTCCTGAACACCACGGTCATGGAGAGGGCAGCCACACTGGTGGGGACAGAGGAGTCTTACCCACACTGCCCTGTAGCAGAAGTTCTCCAACATTATGTCTCTGTAGAAGCCTCCGGGCAGGACTTAGGACTTGCCCACTCCTCTGGGGAGGTCACTACCACATCCTCAAGGAGCACAGTTTCCTGAAACAACGGAACTTTGCTGCTTTGTGGAGGAGCGTCAGAATGTCCACACCGTGGGGGTGTAGCCACTTCCCTCTGCCAGGGGGAATCTGGGAGAAAGAATGGGATTCCTAGTATATTTCTTCTCTACAGAACTGAGAGCCCATCAAGATGCAATGAAACAGAGGCTGACCAGATGCCAAGTCCTGGCTCCAGCCTGGCAGCTCCTCCCACCGAGCCTCATGGCCACCCTAGAGGACAGGCCTTCCTTGCACACACATGTGAAATAGGAAACCCAAGATCTCGAGAGGGGAAGTGGGCCCAGGGACATACCTTGGCTTGGGGTGACTTGGGATCAGTGCAGGACGCCTGACCCAAGAACAAACCAGGCTCTGACACTGAGCAACACACTCCATGGTCTGGACCTCAGTTCCTTTGGCTGCTAAGGAGGCCTGTGTGGGACGGGATCACCTGCAGACACAGAGGGCCTTCGAGCACCTTGTCTCTTGCTTCCCAAACAGCCTGGGTGTGGAGAAGGCTGTGCTATCAGGCTCTCCAAGAGAGGACCCAGCCATGGCCACTGGGCCTCCCAGAATCTACCCACTGGGTGCAGGGCCACAGCAGGGAGGCCATCGTGCTGCCTTTGAGACCAGGACCCAGCAGGGGCCATGCCAATTCAGAGGCTCATGACCACCACGGAACTGAAATGAGGTTCAAGGCCTCACACAAGAGTGGGTCCTAAAAAAGTTGGCAAAGGAGTGTTCTCACCTCTGTTCACACTGGAGGGCACTGCTCAAGGTCACGCAGCTGGTGAATAGCAGGGAACGAGCAGTGGAGAACATGAGGCTGGTCACCAGGAGCAGGTCCCTGCTGGACTCAACAGGCAGCCCTGGGTCTGGCTCTGCCCTCAGCAATTTCACACCTGCCCTCCCTGCCCCGTCTCATCTCTAAACAGGAAGGACCCCACCTCATTTCAACATCACTGCCCTGAAAGGGAAACAAATGTGCAAGGTCTGAGGGTCCACGTGTGGAAGTGGCAGCTGGAGCTGAGTCCAGACGTGGTACACACGGGCAAAGGAACGAGCATGTAGGGCTGGGAGCTGGGGTTCAGCTGGGAACCACCGGGCCTGTCACTTGGCACCGAGATCTTTAAAAACGACTTGCTTTTGTATCTTCACACAAACATTCAAAGCAAGAAACACACACTTCCAGGACACAGGTAGGGCTCTGTCGGCAAGGACTTTTGCCCATGTCTGCAGACATGAAAATACGAGAAACTGCAGCGAGCCCAGACCTCTTCCTCATGAGAACAAAGGTGTCCGTGGAATCAACAGCAGACGCTGGAACACAAACGACACGCTGACTCAGCCAAATGATACGAATTCAAGAAGGGAAGCGAATTCAAGAGCAAAGCACTGAAAAGAACGTAGCAAGAAAAACCCATTTAGGCCAAGTGCTGTGGCTCACGGCTGTAACCTCAGCACTTTGGGAGGCCAAGGCAGGAGGATCACTTGAGGCCAAGAGTTCAAGACCAGAATGGGCAACAGAGTGAGACCGTCTCTACAAAAACAAAAAAAGGTAGGCGTGGTCGTGCACGCCCCTAGTCCCAGCTACTCAGGAGGCTGGGGCAGGAGGAACACTCAAGCCAGGGAGGTCAAGGCTGCCATGAGCTGTGATCACATCACTTCACTCCAGCTTGGTCGACACAGCGAGACCCTGCTTCAAAAAAAAAAAAGAAAGACAAGAAAAGAATACACTATTTCACAGTCTCTCAAAGACGAGGCTTATCCCTGTCGACGCAGGGCATTCTGGAATCTCTGCTGCAGGCAGTGAGTATTGGCCCTGAAGTGGAGATTCTGCAAAGCACCTACAGACATGGAGAATGGAGAAAATAACCACATTCTCTCACAACCACTTCTGTGAAACTACCAGGACAGACAACCCCTCCTGGAAAGTATTACTGACGTGGTAACAGCTGGGGATCTAAGCAGCCAGTTGTATGGTTTTCAATGACTTGTGTGCAACCCTAAGACTAATCTCTGAATGCCTGATGAAGACAGATTCATGTAAAGGCCGCAACTGTGAAATCCTGGGCAACGTGGTACATTGGACTCTGAGCCTAAATGCCAAAATAGCACACAGGGTCCACGTCCTCTATCTGGGTGATGAGCAGGGCCTGGTCAGCCACACCTACTTTCTTCCCAGGAAGGAACTCCACCAAGTCAACTCTCCGTGGGGCCCCCCACATCTTGGGGCCAGATCTGTGAGGAACAGAGGATCGTTCCAGAGTCATTCTGCTGCCTGAGGCCATGACTGAAGTGAGACACGTGGCCTGTTCAGCCACCAGCAGGCCAAGAATTGAGTCCCAGCTCTTGGCCATCTGCCCTCAGACAGAGCGCTCAGGGTCCACCCAGCAAAGGGATGGCCACCAGCCCAGTGAATAGAGCCTTCTGAGATGCAGGAGGTGGGCTTTGGCACATACACAACCTGTCTAGGGGTGGCGGGCAGTGGCCATGGCCTCCTGTCGGCCTGGAGAGCAACTTCTCTCCAAGTGGACAGACAGACATCTCCACCCTCCGATACTGCAATGATCAGCCAGCAAACAGGAAGCCAGATCGGCCCAGCCTGGCCCCATTCCCGCCAGCGTGAGGCTCTGGCCTGTTCTAGGCTAGGCTGGACCCGTCCAAAACATTTCCTCACTTCCAGATGACACAGCAAGTATAAAATAAAACCTGTATTAACAGGAACCTCGGGCCCAGACCATCCTGAGCACATGAGCCACACCCATGGGCCACCCGCTCCTGGAAGGGCTCTCAAGTGTCTGCACACGCCCTCCTGCCTCGGGTAGAGTCGGGGTACAGGACCGTGCCACTCCAGCGTGTGTGGCAAAACAGGGCCAGTGGCCAGGGCAGGGCAGGGCAGACAAGCCATCAGTTGTCACCTGCGGTGGATGAGCAGGGCAAGGGAGAGCAAGCCATGGCCCCACAGCCGCCAGGGCCCTCCTGGAGGGCTTCGACCTTGACCACAGCCCCGAGGGCGCCATGCCGCCTCCTCACCTGCTGCTGGCTCTGGAACACAGCGTGCAGCACCCGCAGCTGCCCCACTTCCTGCGTGCTGAAACACGGCTGCCGCTCTGCAAAGCGCAGCACTGCGTCAAAGGCCAAGGCCGCCTGCGCCCAGGCAGCCTCCTCACCCTCACCTGCGTCTCCTCCACCATCCTGCTTGGTTTTCGGAGTCTTTTCTGAATTCCACACCGCCTCTGCTGGCGATGCGGGAGCAGGCAGCCGTCCCCCTTCCGCCTCCCTTCCCACTACACCCCAGCCGGTGGCCTGGCGCTGGCGAAGCTGTCCGGGGCAGGACGAGCCCTCCTTCACCAGCTCCAGGATGTGCGCAAAGGACTTGTTGTGGGGCTTCGCCTGGAAGCGAGCTGCCTCCACCTCCTCCTCAGATGAGGAGCCTTCGGCAAACACAATCGACGGCCACAGCTTCCTCCAGGCCCGCCTGAAGACGCGGCTGGGCACCGCATTCCAGGCACAGGCTACACTGAAGATGGCGTCATTCACGCTGTAGCGGGCGTGGGGGCCCTGCAGGGAGGCCGGAGGGTTAATGAAGTTCCTCATGAAGTCTCTCCGGATGCCCTGCTCCATGGGCTGCACTAGCGAGGCCACACTGGCAGGCAGGAAGATGGTGAAAATGTTACTGGACACCAGCTCGGCCTCCTGCGGGTGAGCCCGGGAGCTGTCCAGCAAGAGAACAGCCTTGCTGTCTTCCGGCAAACCTATGCTTCGGAAGTGCTCTCTCACTGATGGCACGAAGATGTGATGGAACCAATCGGAAAAAATCTCCTTGTCCACCCAAGCGTTCCCCTGGGCCTTATAGGCGGCGGGCAGGTGCTGGATGCCCTTGAAGGCCCTGGGGCCGCTGCACTTCCCGATGGCCAAGGGCTTGAGCCGGTGGGAGCCTGTGGCGTTGGCACACATCAGCACGGTCAGCCGGTCCTTGCTCTGCTTGAGGCCGGGCCCGGCCCCACCTTCCGGAGTGGGATTCGGCAGACACCGCCAGAAAAGGCCGGTCTCATCAGCATTGTAAACCTGCTCGGGGGACAGCCCGTGCTCTGCAGCCAAGCTCCTGAAAAACCCACAGAACTGCTCCGCCGCCTGGCGGTCGGCTGCCTGCTTTTCGCTGGACGCATCTAGCTTTTTAATGCCGTGTCTGGCCTTAAAGCGCCAAAGCCACCCTCCAGAGAAGACACAGGGCTCGGTGAGCTGCATCTGCTCGTAGAAGTCCTTGGCCTTCTCAATGAGCATGGGGCCTGACACAGGAACGCCCTCGGATCGCTTCCCCAGGAACCACTGGTACAGGACGCGGTCCAGGTGCTCCAGCTTGGGCGTGTGCAGCGTGCGCCGCTGCTCCAGCGCCTTGTTGGAGTCTGAGCTGGCAAAGAAGCGGAGCAGCTGTGCCTTGTGGGCCCTGATGTCGTAGAGGGTGGACATGCCCACGTTGTACTCCTGCATCAGCGCCTTCCGGCTCTCACCCTTCTCCAGGCGCGTGCAGATGTCAATCTTCTCCTTCAGCGTCAGCACCACTCTCTTCCGCTTCTCCCCTCTGCTCTTCCCGGCAGCCGGCTTGGAGGCCATGGGGAGGGGTGGCTGGTCCCAGTGCTCACAGGCCACACGCCTGGCCTGGACTGCTGCCGCTCCTTCCCCCTCCTCCTGCTTCCCTCCCGAGCCTCAGTCTCTCCCTCTCCACTCTGCCTGCTCTGCTGGTCCTGAGTACAGCCCCAGTCCCTCCCGGGTTCCCCACTCCACGCGCTACACCTGCTGCCTCAGGGGTCCCTTGCTTTCCAGGCTCTACACGCCCAGGCCCTGGCTCCCAGCAGCACAGTCCGCTGCCAGTTCTCTCTGCAGGGGAGAGGACCCTGTCAGACGTCCCTCTGCTGCTCCGCACAGCTGGAACCCCCGCCTTCTCTGTGGGTACTGTGGCAGCGGCTCCCCTCAAATGCTGACCAGGTTTGGGGTGGTCAAGTTTTTACTGTATACACAGCAGGGGCCTCTCCAGGGTCCACAATGGTCTCTCCAGGCACAGCACTTCAGGGGCTGGAAAGCAGAAGGGGAAGAGAGAGGAATGCAATGGGCACGCATGGCACCCCGCTGGCATCCTCACACCTCTAGCCTCCCCGGGATGCTCCTGACATCCTCACGCCTCTAGCCTCACCAGGACACTCCAGCTGAAACTCAAGTGTCATTGAGAGGACCCACGCAGGCGTTAGCACGCACCATGGGGAGAGGGTGGCCTCGGGTGCAGCCCAGCCCTGCCCAGCCCCCGGGTGTGCTGAACTCCTACCAAGCAAACTGAAGCCACTTGCTAGAGCTGGAAACGAGAAGTGGCTCTCCTAGGAGCAGCCTGGCCTCTCCCGGGGAAGCACTCAGGCAGAGGCCATCAGAAAAGCCAGGAAGTCAGATGCTGTACTGACCCAAAAACAAACCTCCCGCCCACCCAGACTCAGTTTCTTGCTGTGACTGCTTGCTGAGCTGCCTGGCCTAGCCGCCTTCTCAAATCCCTTATTCCTCCCAGAAGAGCAGAGGCAGGGGTGGAGGGAGGCAGGGACCAGGAATCTTCACAACCCTCCCGGGCCAAGATCTTAGAAGCCCCTTCTGAAACCGTGCCCGCAAACCCCATCTGGAACAGGTCTCCACACTCCCCTCACCAACACGGAGCCCCAGACTACCTCTAGAAAACGAGGCATTGGAAGTTTCTCCAGAACAGGAGGCCTCAAGATCCTCCAAGGGCTAGGAGGTGCGGCCGGTTTCTCAATCACCTCCTGACCTCCCTCACCACAGACGCTCAGATGCGCCTATGAGGAGCCGCAGTAAACAGCTGTGACCATTCCAGGTCTCTTCCAGGAGAAACCCCACAAGCTCAGCTCAGGGCACCCTGCCCCAGGCAGCCACACTGAGCCGCTGGTCTCGGAAACCCCAGGTTCTGGCACTGCCCATCCACCTGGCCCCATAACCACGGCAGGGCCACAGAGCATGCTGGACACACACACACACCCCCACCCACCCTCACTCACACACGGACGCTCAGAGGACACGGGAGCGAGCCAGCCCAGAGCAGGGGTTTCTTCAGTATTTGCTAATTTGAGAGGTTCTATGAACAAATGATGAATTCAGGCCAGAAGCAAAGGCCTGGACACCCGATGGCCCCCTGGGAGCAAGGGTTCTTTCTGGACCAGCCGTGCACCCTACAAAACGCTGTGCTTGTCGGTTTCATACATATCTTCGACCAGGATGAAGAATGGCATAGAAACACCACGGCTCTAATCAATCACTTCTTTCCGTTGGAGTTCTGAACTACCTTCTCACCCATCTCCTGTATAAAGAGGATCTGGGTCATTCTCATCCCTTCCAGCTGGACAGTTCCACCCTCTCCTGAAACTCTGCACCACATCCCACACCTCTCCCTAGACCCGAGCAGACCGGCAGGGCACAGAGGGTGCACCCCTGTGAGGCCAGGGCAGCCTGAGGAGTCAGGGCCTGCAATGCGCTTCACCCAGTAAGATGCTGCTGAGGGAGGTGAGGGCTGAAACCTGTTTGCCCCAACACAGCTGGCCAACTCCGTGTGGCATGCGTGCTGTGAGGCCTGCGGTCTCCCTTCCCTCCCTCCTCCGCGGGCCTGCAGGACTTGAGGATGGACTCACGGAGTTCCAGCCTCCATCCCGCGTCCTTCCCATGGCTGCTTCTGCCAACTCCATGCAGAGGGTGTGGCCAGAGGCCTGCTTGCACGTGGCACACAGAAACACAGTCCTTCGAGGCCAGAGCTCAAGAGGAATGAGGAGTGCATTCAAATGCAGCAAAAGCCCCAAAAACCAGCCCCAGGCTTGTCAGCCACCAGCTCTGGGTGAGTCCTGTCCTCTTTCCGAGTCAGCTTCCTGGTCTGCAAAATGCAGCCTGGGCCCTTAAGGATCCCGCATCGTTTGCTGAGGGTGACGGTGCGACGTGTGTGTGGCCCGGCATGGCACAGCGAGCTATGCGCACCTCACCGAGGGGAACAGGAGGGAGGCAAGGCCACCATCCACCCTCAAGACTTTTCATATGAAGCCGCTGTAGAAAAATGGGAAGATACGGACTCCCACAGTAGCCTGTGAGGGACTGACCCGGCCTGGGACGCCGGGAAAAGCTTCCCGGGGGAGACTCAGTACCAGAAACAGGCTCGTTGCGGGCCGGTCTCCATGCCTGGCGTGCAGGTGTGGCAGGGTGACATGGAGGGGCTGAACACAGTGCCGTCCCGCTTGCAACACTAAACACTTCCTTTAAAAATGAAATTCAGATATTCCTCATGAAGCAAAGTCTTCAGCAAAAGGCTAAGACGGCATGCCGAAAGAAATTAAAGAAATTGGGGTGGTTTCTTCCCTTGCGACTGCAGAGGAAGCACTGACCCCCGAGGCCACGTGAACACGGGATGAAACATGGAATTCCGTGTCCAAGGGACAGACAAGAAATGGGAGGCCTAAGCCCTGTCCTGTGTGAGGAGAAGAGGCCCCCCCAGGAACGCGGCGGGAGTTGGGGGGGGATGGGAAACGACCTCTGCGAGAGCGTATTTTGTGTGTGTGTCTGCGCGGGCATACTGTGTGCGTGTGTGTGTGTCTGCGCGGGCATACTGTGTGTGCGCATGTGTGTGTCTGCGCGGGCATACTGTGTGCGTGTGTGTGTCTGCGCGGGCATACTGTGTGTGCGCGTGTGTGTCTGAGCGGGCATACTGTGTGTGCGCGTGTGTGTCTGAGCGGGCATACTGTGTGTGCGCGTGTGTGTGTGTCTGCGCGGGCATACTGTGTGTGTGTGTGTGTCTGCGCGGGCATACTGTGTGTGTGTGTGTCTGCGCGGGCATACTGTGTGTGCGCGTGTGTGTCTGAGCGGGCATACTGTGTGTGCGCATGTGTGTGTCTGCGCGGGCATACTGTGTGTGCGCGTGTGTGTCTGAGCGGGCATACTGTGTGTGTGTGTGTGTCTGCGCGGGCATACTGTGTGTGTGTGTGTCTGCGCGGGCATACTGTGTGTGCGCGTGTGTGTCTGAGCGGGCATACTGTGTGTGCGCGTGTGTGTGTGTCTGCGCGGGCATACTGTGTGCGTGTGTGTGTGTCTGCGCGGGCATACTGTGTGTGCGTGTGTGTGTGTCTGCGCGGGCATACTGTGTGTGCGCATGTGTGTGTCTGCGCGGGCATACTGTGTGCGTGTGTGTCTGCGCGGGCATACTGTGTGTGCGTGTGTGTGTGTCTGCGCGGGCATACTGTGTGTGCGCGTGTGTGTCTGAGCGGGCATACTGTGTGTGCGTGTGTGTGTGTCTGCGCGGGCATACTGTGTGTGCGCATGTGTGTGTCTGCGCGGGCATACTGTGTGCGTGTGTGTCTGCGCGGGCATACTGTGTGTGCGTGTGTGTGTGCGCGGGCATACTGTGTGTGCGCATGTGTGTGTCTGCGCGGGCATACTGTGTGTGCGCGTGTGTGTGTGTCTGCGCGGGCATATGTGTGTGCGCGTGTGTGTGTGTCTGCGCGGGCATACTGTGTGTGCGTGTGTGTGTCTGCACGGGCATACTGTGTGTGCGCGTGTGTGTGTCTGCGCGGGCATACTGTGTGCGCGTGTGTGTCTGCGCGGGCATACTGTGTGCGCGTGTGTGTGTCTGCGCGGGCATACTGTGTGTGCGCGTGTGTGTGTGTCTGCGCGGGCATACTGTGTGTGCGTGTGTGTGTGTGTCTGAGCGGGCATACTGTGTGCGTGTGTGTGTCTGCGCGGGCATACTGTGTGTGCGCGTGTGTGTGTGTCTGAGCGGGCATACTGTGTGCGCGTGTGTGTGTCTGCGCGGGCATACTGTGTGTGCGCGTGTGTGTGTGTCTGAGCGGGCATACTGTGTGTGCGCGTGTGTGTGTGTCTGAGCGGGCATACTGTGTGTGTGCGTGTGTGTCTGCGCGGGCATACTGTGTGTGCGCGTGTGTGTGTGTGTGCGCGGGCATACTGTGTGTGTGCGTGTGTGTCTGCGCGGGCATACTGTGTGCGTGTGTGTGTCTGCGCGGGCACACTGTGTGTGCGCGTGTGTGTGTGTCTGCGCGGGCATACCGTGTGTGCGTGTGTGTGTCGGGGCCGAGGAAGAGAGGAGCTTGGGGTCATGCAGGGGAAAAGGACGGGACAGAGACCCCGGGGCCGTGCGCCCCGCCCGGAGCCCTCCTTGCGGGGGGACCCTGGCGCAGGGAGAGCGCTGGGCTGCCGGCGAGGCTCGCTCGGAAAGCGTCTCTACCCCAGGGTCCCCGTTAACAAGCAGAGACGAAGTTTGGGACAAGAACAAAAACAAAAAATGGAGTTAAAAAAAAAACCATGTCTCGGTCTGGTCTTTCAGGAGGCAAGCGGACCTCGTCGCCAGGCCTCTCTGGAAGCGGAAGCGCAGGACGGCTCCGGGCTGGGGTGCCAAGGCCAGGCCCCGCGGCGAGGGCTGGGTTCGGCTCCGGGGCCGCACGCTCCGGCCGCGGGGGTCGCGCGGGAAGCGCGGGGCTTCGGGTTCCGAGCGCGGCTCCCGGGAGGGGGCGCTGCCGCCCGCGGCTCGGCCCGGCCCCGCGGCCTCCGACCAGCCCCGCCCCACCCCGCCCCTCCCAACGCGCCCGCCCGCCCAGACTGCGGCTCCCGGCCGCGCCACCCGCGCCCAGCGAGGACCGGAGAGCGCCTGCCCGCGCCCGCGCCCGCGCCCGCCCCGACCGCCCCGGCCAGTGCCGGCGCCCCAGGCCAGGACCCCACTCACCATGCTCATCCCGAGCCGCCGCCGCAGGCCGGAAGTGCCGGCCACTTTGTTCTCCTCCGGTCCGCACCTCGCCACCTTCCCCCAGCTCCTTCCGGGACGCTCTAGGCCGTCTGGAGGACTCGGCCCTCGTCGGTGTACGGGAGCCGGACTCGGGCTTTCCCCGAGCTGGATGGAGACGGAGGGCGTGGGAAGGGAGGAGGCCTGGCGCGGAGGGGAGAGGCGAGGGGGAGGGGGACAGGAGGAGGCGAGGGGGAGGGGGAGAGGCGAGGGGGAGGGGGACAGGAGGAGGCGAGGGGGAGGGGGGAGGCGAGGGGGAGGGGGACAGGAGGAGGCGAGGGGGAGGGGGGGAGGCGAGGGGGAGGGAGGCGGCAAGGGGGAGGGGGGGAGGCGAGGGGGAGGGGGAGGCGGGGGGGCGAGAGGGGGGAAGGCGGGGGGAGGGAGGCGCGAGGGGGAGGGGGAGGCGAGGGGGAGGGGGACAGGAGGAGGCGAGGGGGAGGGGGGGAGGCGAGGGGGAGGGGGACAGGAGGAGGCGAGGGGGAGGGGGGAGGCGAGGGGGAGGGGGACAGGAGGAGGCGAGGGGGAGGGGGGAGGCGAGGGGGAGGGAGGCGGCGAGGGGGAGGGGGAGGCGGGGGGGCGAGAGGGGGAAGGCGGGGGGAGGGAGGCGCGAGGGGGAGGGGGGAGGCGAGGGGGAGGGGGAGGGGAGGGGGAGGCGAGGGGAGGGGAGGAATGGGGGTTCCTGGGTGAAGGGGAAGGGAGACGGCTCCGCGCTGCTCTCTCCATCTGTAGAATGGGCGCAGGGCGCCCCGCAGGCTCACGTTCCTTTCATGACGAGTGAACCCTGCGCTGAGGACTCGGGGCTCCCGCAGTCCCGGGGCAGCCCCAGGCACTCAGGGTTCCGCACCGCCCCCGAGGATGTCCACTTCCTAAGCTCCAGCTCCTGTGAACACGTTACTTACACGCAGAAGGGGCTTCGCAAACGCAGGGAAGCCAAGGTTCTTAAGACGGGGAGATTCTCAGGTGAATCAGGGTGAGTCCGATGTACAGTCATCCCTGGGTACGCGCGGAGGATTGGCTCCGTCACCTCCCAAGGATACCAAAATCCTCGATGCCCAGATCCCTTACATGAAATGGCCCAGTACTTGCAAATAACCTATGCACATCTTCCTGTATACTTCAAATCGCAGCCAGAATACTTGTAACACGATGTAAGCGCTATGTAAATAGTTGTTATACCGTATTGTTTAGGGAATAGCGACAAGAGAAAAGTTTGTACAGTTTCAGTACAGACACACGGTTTTTTTCCGAGTATTTTTTCCCTGCTTGGTTCCATCTGGATGCAGAGCGCATGGGTACAGAGAGGAGGATAGGCGGCATCCAGGGTTTCTTGTGGGAGGTAGGAAGCCTAGTGAGAAGACAATGAGACGAAAGCAGAGAGAAAAAGAAACGGGACAGCAGACACGGGGGTTGGACTGATGTGATTTGAAGACGGAGGAAGGAGCCACAGGCCGGGGAATGTGGGCGGCTTCTAGAGGCTGGAGAGGCAAGGAAACGGGGTCTCTCCTGGAACCTCCAGAAGGAATGCAGCCTGTTGACTCCTTGATCTTAGCCCATGACACTCATTGTCCCATTAGTCTCTGACTCCCAGAACTGTGAGATATAAATGTGTACTGTTTTGGACCACCACATTTATGGTAATTTGTTAGGACAGCAATAGGAAACAAATACAGATTTGGGTAGCTCACTCCTCCTTTTTTATTTTTATTTTTTTGAGGCAGAATCTCACTCTGTGCCCAGGCTGGAGTGTGGTGGTGTAATCTCCTCACTGCAGCTTCAAACTCCTGGACTCAAGGGATCCTCCTGCCTCAGCCTCCAGAGCAGCTGGGTCTACAGGCATACACCACCTCATCTATCTCTTTAATTTTTTGTGGAAACGAGGTCTAGCCATGTTGCCTAGGCTGGTCTCGAACTCGTGGACTCCAGTGATCTCCAAATGCTGGGATTCCAGGCACGCGCCCGGCCAACTCACTCCTCCTCAGTTCAGTTGTTCCCTGGGCTCCCAGGACCCTCCCACCCTCTGGTTCTTCTCTTCCTTACCCTCCCTTGCTGATTCCTTACTCACCAGGTCATTCTTTGGCTCCTTTTATTCAACCAATCCCCACCCCCTAGGTGATCTCCTCCAGTGTCATGCCTTTAAAAACCATCCAACACTGGCAACACCTGAATTCCTATCTCCTGCCGGGGCCCCTCCCCAGAAATCCACACTCCTATGTGCTGCCCAATGTCTTGCTTAGCTTTGATCTTCCAGCCCAGCCTTGCTCCATTGCATGGCCCCCACCTTCACAAATGGCTACTCACCTTGCCGTTCACTCAGGCTCACCCTCGGCAGTCTCCATCCCTCATATCCACATCCTCTACCTGCAAAACCCAGCCAGTATTGGGCCTCCTCTCACTCCCTCCACCTGCCCTCCCCCATCCACACCTCTGTGGTCTTGCTTCCTTTCAAGTCTTCATTTCTGCCCTTACTCTCATATCAGCTATCAACTGCTGCATCACTAACCACCCCAAAACTTAGTAGCTTGAAACCAACCGTTTTTATTGCACATGACTCTGTGAGGCAGCAATTTGGGGCTGCTAGAGTCAGATGTGTTTCACAGAAGATAAAATGGAGTCACAAGCATACCAGGCACATGGTGGGGCTAGAACCCAGTGCCACTGGACTAGGGTTCCCATGGCACGATCTCCTGGGACAGCAAAGTTCCCGCCCACCCCCGCCACCACCTGGGGAAGGCTGGCTCCATCCCTGGTGTGACTGCTGCTGAAGCGGCATCACTGTCTGGGGTAAATATCTGGGGTTACTTGTCTCATGCCAAGAAGATTAAGGACACAGATTCATGTAGATGGGTTAAGGAGCAGAAAGTTCAATAGGCAGAAGAAAGGAGAGAAGGGAGCAGCACTCTGGAGAGAAAGACATCCAAGAGGGAAAAGCTGGCAGGCCTGCAGCAGACCACAGCATATTTTATAGGCACGATTGGTATGACCAAGTGTGATGTTTACATATGGCATGGGGAAGGCTGGTCGCCCCACCCTAATCCTGTTTGCAAATGGGCTTTCCACTTGGCCAGTGCCATCTTGTCTGCTCCCTGCTATACACACGGGAAGGGAAGATGGAGCTGCCCTTTGATCATGCCTCGTTGCAGCTTGCTTTTCCTGTTGGCATGACTGCCAGCATTCACCTGTGCAAGCCTCCAGCTTGCTTGTCTGTGTTTGCAGCTCTGTTTTACAGGCTGCTCTTGGTTAGAAAAGAAAATGATTTGGGGGCTGCTTTTCATTAAAAGGAAAACCTTACCAAGGACTTCCTTACCCTCACTATCTGCCTAAATAATTTCTTCTTAACTCCCATGTCCCCGCCACCTCGGGGACATGGGATCACATGGTCTCCCAGAATTTGGACGGTGCTGGTGGGCAGTGAGGATTGGCCTGTAACTGGGGCCTGATCCCCAAGATGCATGGGGCTCCCCCAGGTGCTCCTACCATTCCTCAGGGAACCCTGGGCCTCTTCTCAAAGACCGAGTCCATTCTGGCCCTCAGGAGGGATCAGGAAGAGAGGAAGAGAAGGAAGAAAATGTATAACCCAGTGGGTTCATTTTGACCCCTGCCCAGATAGAGCCAATTTATCAAGACAGGAGAATTGCAGTAAAGAGTTTAATTCACGCAGAGCCACCTGAAGGGGATACCAAGTTTTATTATTACTCAAATCAGCCTATCAAAGAATTTGGACGCTAGGGTCTTTCAAGGAAAGTTTGGTGGGCCAGGGAGCGGGGTGCTGCTGGTTGGCTGGCGATGCAGTGGTAGAGGTGTGACAATTGGTCCTCCTGTGCACTGAGTTTCATCCACGTGGGGCCACAGGGCCGGCTGCCGGGTTGATGGGACTCGCTGGAGCCATCCGTCAGTCATTAGACATGCAAAAAACGGGAAAGACCGTCTTGAAAGGCCAGTCTGAGGATCACAATAGTGATGTTACTTGGAGTGACTGGGGGAGTTTCCCATCTTGTGACCCCTGGAATAATGGCAGGGAGCTCTGGCTGGGAGTTAAGTCTACACTTCAGAAGAACTCCTCTCATCTTCCTAATGCAGTGGTGACCTTTCATTAGTTTTACAAAGGCGGTTGAGTTTTGGGGAAGGGCGATTATGCCAGAAATGACTAAGGGCAGTTTGGAGATTAAAGGCAAGTTGGGGGTCAGTTGGATCAGGTCTCCTTCACTCACAATTCTGGGGGCCAGCACTGAGGACCCCCTTCCCCCAGCGGTGCCCCAGGTTCACAGAGCAGAGCCCCCAGGACCATGCCTGGGCCACTGTGCCAGCCTCCGTCCCGACTGGCCTCCCCGTCTCCAGCCACAGTCTGAGTGGCCTTTGAGGAGGGTCCGTCACTCCCCCTGCCCAAATAAGCCCGTGCACCCTGAATACGGCTCAGGTTCCTCACTGGGCCACAAAGGCCACACCAGATCTAACCCTTCACTGTCCTCTCCCAAGCCCGTGGGCCGCCCCCCCGCCCCTGCTGTCCCCCTCTGTCTGGAGGTGGGCCTGCACCCACAGTGCCCTTTGCTCAGGTTCCAGGGGCCTCAGGTGGGGGCAGTCCAGATGGCCCTCTCTCTGGAGGTCTCTGGATGACAGCTCTCTCACAGCAGGGGTGGCTGAGGGTGCTGGGGAAGCTATGCCCAGCTGGCAGGGAAGGGTGTGCCTGGCGTCTCCTCTGCTGAGTTCACTCCAGGAGGAGGAAGTGGCACGAACAAGAGGGTTGCAGAGAGGGGGGCAGTTCTGAGAGGCACTGGAAGTCAAGGGGCATGGCTGGTGGGGCAGGGGCTGGGGCAGTACCCATCTCCACGTTGGTGCCCAGGCAGGAGAGGAAGTTGGTTTGGGGCCAGGCCCTGATGGCACCTTTGTGACAGCCAGGAAGAGGCACCTCCTCTGGGAATGCAGGGCCCTGGGGGAGTTAGAAATGGGGAGGGCCTGTGGACCCCACCTGGGTGGGCTTGGGGGAAACCGCTCTGAGGGGTTCCAGGCTGCCAGCCTCGAGACTCGATGGCCTCAACACACACTCACATTTACACACATGCTTTTGATCACACACACACACTGCACACACCCACACTCACATTTACACACATGCCACAGACATGCATCCTGTCTCACAGGGCACGCACACCATGCTCACATAGTTTGCATGTACAAACCCTCACAGTCACATGTCACACACACAGCCTGCAAGTCATGGCCTTAGTTTCCAGAACCCAAATGGGGGCTTGGCACTCAGTGCCCTGCCACCCCACGATCTAGCCTGGCACTCAGTGCCCCCATCACCCATGATCTGAGCCCTGGCACTCAGTGCCCTCTCCACCCTGTGATCTGAGCCTGGCACTCAGTGCCCCCCCGCCACCCCATGATCTGAGCTGGCACTCAGTGCCCCCACCACCCCATGATCTGAGCCTGGCACTCAGTGCCCCCGCCACCCCGTGATCTGAGCCTGGCACTCAGTGCCCCCATCACCCCACGATCTGTAGCCTGGCACTCAGTGCCCCCACCACCCCATGATCTGAGCTGGCACTCAGTGCCCCCAATCACCCCATGATCTGAGCCTGGCACTCAGTGCCCTGCCACCCCACGATCTGAGCCTGGCACTCAGTGCCCCTACCACCCATGATCTGAGCCTGGCACTCAGTGCCCCCGCCACCCGACCCCGTGATCTGAGCTCTAGTGGGTTTCCTCCTGATTGCAAGGGCGTTTTTCCAAAGAAAGATGCTGC